GCGCTCAGGGGCGCGTGCTTTGCAGCTCTTATGTGGTTCTCTTGGTTTACAGTACTCATATATTTCTCTCTCTTCTCTTTGCATCTGTTTGCTGAAAGCCTTGCGCTGTCGGAGTTATTGCTTGGAGAGTTGAGGAGGAGGGGAGGAGGGAGTGGGGGGGTGGGTGTCTACCGGGGCCTACCGGCGCTCAGGGGCGCGTGCTTTGCAGCTCTTATGTGGTTCTCTTGGTTACCGGTGCGCGCGGAGCCAGAGCGCCTCCGGTGTCTCGACCAGAGTTAAGGGGTGGGAGGGTAAAAAAAAAAAAAAAAAAAGAACTAGAAGAGACGAGTTTGTTCATGTTGGGAGTGGAGACAGAAAGAAAGTCTTGACTTTTTTAAGAAAATTGTTTTTTTCTCCCCAAATTCCCTCAAATTGTGCGCATTTACGCACAACTCCACTTTGAACTGAATAAGAATCAGTTTTACATTAAAGAATCTTCTTAACCAAATTGTCTCTTTAGGCATAAATGTGTTTCCTGTTTGTTTGCTTTTTCCACTCCAGTGGCTCCACGCAGAATTAAATAATGACCTAAGTGTTCCAAATCAGCCTTAATTAAATAATGATTATGCATTGCTTATTTACCCTGGTTTGTCTTTCTGTTTAGTTTAATTCTAAATATTTTCAAATAATATATCTTGCAGTAAATAAAAACACAATCCTGATTTTTTTTATTTTTTTTTAAAGCGAGTTTGATGAACTGCCAGATTTCTTCTTTAAAATGGTTGATGTTCTAAAAGATGAAAAAGTTTTGGGCACTTTTCGGTTTTGGAGTCGATGATAAGAGTTTGGTTTGGTCCATAAGTATTTGGAGACGGAATGGTCACAGAACTTGGCCGTATCAGTGATTTTCTATGTGTGTGTGTGTGTGTGCGTGTGTAAAGAGAGTGAGTGTGTGCGCGGGTTACACCGAGGCGCGTGTGACAGAAAGGGGGCGCTCTGTGTCTTGAAATCCACCCTCCTCCGTGCGCTCTCCTCCAGTTGAGAGAGGAGCTGGAGACGCACCGAGCGCAGGAGCTCGCCTGGTTTAACTTGCAGGTCCGACTCTACCCCCTCCAAAAAAAAAAAAAAAAAAAAAAAAAAAAAAAAAAGAAAGAAAAGAAAAATAGATCCCAGATTTGTCTCTTCTTCTGGGTGAACGTTGAGCCGGTTCGATCACACGCGCATGGGAAGTGATGGTCCGGACGCGCTGGCGCAGCCTGCTTTTCTAAAAGTTCTCACTTTTGTAGGTTTGTAGATTTGTTTGGTGGGGAGTTGTTCTGTTCTTTGTAAATCCATATGTTAGTGCGCAAAAACCTGCATGATAATATTAATAACTGAGCGCGTTTTCTTGCGTTAGAATGAAACCTGTCGCCCACGAGTGCAAGTTGTGAAATGAGCGCATGATCTTCAGTTGTGGTTCTTAACATTTTGTCTTCTTTCTCGCGGTGATTCAGTGTCTCACATCATTGCATAATGTTTACATATTGGACAAAAACCTGTAGACATTCGTCCTAAATTGTTTTTAAGGGAATTTGCATGATTTTATGTTGTAATTTAACACATCTGGAGCGAGGCGCGCATCATCTTTCATCTTTTTCTGCATCTGATTTTTTTTATTAAACAGTGGCACGTTTTAAACTTAAAAACAAGCTTCCCGATGTGTTTAAATTGCGCAAATAAACTTTATCCCGAACCCTACTTTTAAAAAAAAAAAAGTTAAAATTTGTTGAATAAAGTAAAGTTAAGATTGTGAGGGACTGGAGGAAAGGGTTGCCCCCCTTTTCATCCGGTTTCCAGCAGCTGTCTATCCCATCCTTACACATCTGTCCCCTCTTCTCCTCCTTTCCAGCAGGCATAGGTTCGGAAGAGCGCGCCCAGACGAGCTCGGAGTCCCGGAGATCTGATCCCGAGTCCTCCCAGCTCCAGGAGTCCTGGCTCGGCCGCAGCCACGCCACCCCTAAACCCCGGATACCCAGCACCATTCAGCGCGAGGCTCTCTCACCAGGTACTCTTTCTTTCATTCTTTTCTTTCTTTTCATTTCTTTCTTTCTCATTTCTTTCATTCCTTTCTTTCTTTCTTTACTTCTCTCAGCTGATGCTTGGATCTCAGTCTTTTGTGCTGTTTTTGATGCCAGCTGTTTGACAAGAACACGAAAATGAAATTGTCAAAGTGCACCGCAGCTCTGAAAAGTCTGTTTAGAGGCCAAATTGTGGAGTTTAAATCAAGTTCAAACATATGCAGTCGATGGTTTAGTCATTTTGCCCCCAACGAAATGCAGATTTTGCTGTTTTGGTGCTTGTTCACTCTGTAGCTGGCAACCTTTTTCACACTTCTAAAATTTTCCAGACTAAATCTGGACTAATGTTAGTGTATTTTTCAGTCCCACACGATTTTATTTCAATGAATTCAGCCATCAAAGCCCTCAAACTGTTGATTTGTGTTATTCTCTGCAACATGTCACAGCTGCTTCGTGTGTTGTTCGTGTGAGAGGCCACTTAGTTCAAACATTATTTTCCCCATATTCAAATAAGTTTTTTTTCCCCATTCCTCATGTCTTCATCTTCATGTTTTCATTTTGTTAGATCTATGGCATTCTGACAATGAGCAGGCGCACTCAGTTATTGGAACAGCTGCAGTTTGTCCAGTTGAAATGCACACCTCGAGGTTAGAGACTGTTTCCTTTCGCCTCACTGTGCTGCACCTCCTCTCTGCTTGTCTGTCTCTTCCTGCTTGCACGCACGCACACACACACACACGCTGAAACACTCACATTCAGAACAGAAGTGGTGCTGGAGACTGAAGGGGTCATAAAACTCATCTGAGGTGTATTTTTGTGAACATTGGGTGTGTGTTGAGTGAAGGAGGCACAAGGTGAGACTATGACAGAAGTGGTTTTACAGGTTCTTTTTAGGATGAGGGTACATGTTATTAACAGAATGAGCACATACAGGTCTGTGTTGACATCTTGAACATCATTGTGAGGAAAATGTGTGTCTGTGCGCTCTTCAAAGCCTTCTTCACTAATCTGACTCCCGCGGACGAACATTAAAATGTTTCATGTTAACATTTCTCTCTTCGTCTTTCTCTTTCCTGCAGGCAAAGTCAGCTTAAACACCCTATTTAAAGTTATACCCTCCTGACAAGTTAATGAGCTGCTGTGAGGGTGTGTTTCTATGACAGGTGCCGAGATCCTTTAAAGCACACTCACACTGTAACCCGGACTTTATGGGGTTTGGCCTACTGACACAACACACAGCCACAAAGTTCACCACTGCGCCCTCATCTTATCAGTTGTGTGCATTTTTTTCCTCTTCATTTTTGCATGCTTTAAAATTATTTAGCACAGAAAAGAGAGGCCCCATGACACCCATAATGCTCCATGTGTGTTTTTCCACGTGGGTTGAAGAGCTGGTCACTTGCAGAAGAAGTAAAGGGGAAAGAAATGACGTGAAGTAGAGGTTGACTCATATCCTTAATTTAATCTTGGCACGTTGCCACTGATAACTAGCTGTCATAATTGAAAAATGTGAGGTCAATATTTTTAACTTAGCTTGCGTGAGGAAAAATGTACTAAGTATATAGAGATTTCTTATAAAATAATCATCCTTTTCTACCGTTTTGCTTCTTATGCAATTAAAATAATAACAATGAATGCAATGACAAAATTAATGCATATTTCTATGTAATTATTCTAATCATTTTTGTTTTACTTGACACCTCAGCTATTATTTTTATTCAAGTTTGTTTTGTTTTTTTACAAATAGATGACATAAATACATATATATGTAATAAAATCAACACAACCAAGAACAGAAAATAAACAGGTAACAAATATGCTGGATAAACACACAACTACATGAATATAAATAAATACCAATATACCAAAATCTACAGTATAGAACAGAAGCCTTTTTCTACATTTATAATATAATTACGTCATAGAGGCCAAGAAGTTTAGGTCACTTTTGTGCGCCTGCGCAATGAGTCACGTTCGTTAATGAGACAAACGTAACTTTCCTGGCTGTTTTTTAAAGTGAAGGCTATTCTATTTTTAATCTTAATCCTGTTTTTTGAAGTTATTAACCTTTTGGAGAGGAGGTGGAAAAACGATTGTGCTTATCGGTTTACTTAACTTTTGCTGAAAACTGAAGTCAAATTGGCTTGATGTCCTGGCCGAGCGTTGACGGAGTGAGTCCGCTTGGATGGAGGTATGTCAGGGTGCCCAAACAACAGATGTGGACAGATGTTCCGTATCTGAGTGGCGGGGAGGGAAAAGATATCACGGCGGAGTGCCTGTGGCTGTTGGGAGTCGGTGTTTGGAGGGGTTTTTTTGCTCAGGAGCGACGAGCGAACGGCTGAAAAGCTCTCGTCAGAGCTAGCTTGTTACAAATTGCCCGCGCGCACCTTCAACGCGCGGCAGGAGCGCGCGCAGAACGCAGGTGTCGCGTGAGAAGAAAACATGGCGTCTTGTTGCTGTGACAGTGGCAGCTTAAATCAGAGCGGATAGACCTGCTGGAGTTTGAGTCAGTGAGGAAATCGTCTGTGCGTGTATGGGAAGGTTAGCGTCCACCATTTGTATGTTATTTCATCTACTTTGCCGTCATCAGACTCACATAAAACACAAACACACTAAAACCAAACTAACAAAAATCAACCTTGTTTGAAGTTTACACTTAGTTTCTAACGCCAAGTGCAAGAAATATGAGTGGGGGAAAAATTCAACGCTTGTAAGAAACTTTGAAAGGTGCATTTTCATAAGACCTGTCATCTTTGACTCATTGAAAGATAGTGGGAAATGATAATAAGAAAAAACTGCCTGTTCCAATAGAGCTGCAGGAATCTTTAGTCGTTTTGTGTGTTTGGCCTGCGTGTGTGGCTTGATCCTGTAGTTTTCCTTTTGTTTTAATTTAAGTCCCATTCCTCAGTTTACCTGTTGTGTTTAACTGCTATAGCAGTAAATTATATTTTCTGCCTAACGGTTGTTATTTTAGGCCACAAATGTGTTGACTAACACTATAAAAGATGCTTCTTGAATGGAAAGTCTCAGTCAGCTCTGACGTGTCTGTGCTGTGTGTCCTGCAGACATGCCCTGTGTGCAGGCTCAGTATGGGCCCGCCCCTCCAGGCTCAGCTTACTCTGGCCAGTCCTTCAGTTACCAGAGCGACAGCTACAGCTCTGACCTCATGACCCCGGACTACACCAAGCTGGACCTGGGAGGGGGCGAGATTTCAGCCGCCGCCACCACCTCCCTTCCCAGCTTCAACGTCTTCGTGGAGGGGAGCTATGAGCCCAAGTCCTCCTGCCTCTTCCAGATGCCCTCGCACAGACCCACCATCAAAAAGGAGGAGGAGAGCTACCCAACTACACCGCCACTGGAGGCTATGTCCTCCTCTGCAATGTACTTTAAGCAGTCCCCCTCTTCCCCTCCCACCACCCCATCCCTGCCACCGCAGCATGGCACCTCCTTCCTTTGGGACGAGCACTCCTTGGCCCCTCCATCGCACCCTCACTCCCTGGGCTCGGGCCTGGAAACAGGTGCCCTCAAATCTCCACGCTTTCAGCACTTTTACCAGCACTCTCCACCTCACAGCGGTGGCAACGTTGGTGGTTATGAGAGCCTTGGAGGAGGGATGGTCCGTACCTCTTCTTCGTCCTCTTCTTCGCCATCAGTGTCCCACTCTCACGGTCCACCTCTGGACCAGCCCATGTACCAGCTGCACCGTGGGGCCGGGGGCAGCAGCCTTGCCTTCCGCTCCCTGGCTCTTGGGCCTTGTGGGCCTCTCCTAGGAGACAGTCTGCCCTCACCTCCTCCTCGTGGCCCTCAAGGAGAAGGAACCTGTGCGGTGTGTGGGGACAACGCAGCCTGCCAGCACTACGGCGTACGCACCTGTGAGGGCTGCAAGGGCTTTTTCAAGGTAAAAAATTACAATAATTGCATTTTTCAGTATCTTTGAAATAATCTGAATTTAAATAAGGTACGCCAGTTTGACCTTTTTTGTAAATGCTTTTTACAGTATCAGCACAAGTTTCTCACTATACAATACACTCATTATAAATCAACTTAATATGTGAAATAGGATTTCTGAAATGGGGCTTATGTAAAAAGTATATAAACAATTAATATCTTACCTGTTGTAGATAGGCCTTTGTATGACCTCAGTTCAAGAGAAATACTGGTAATTTAATTCTGATCGGATCAATGAGCTAACAAAGTAAGGTTTTGCAAAGTAAGATTGGACATGACACACAGTTGACTGATTGATTGATGAGCCGCATGATCGGCATGGATTTTTTTTATTTAAAACAAATTATTTTAAATTATTTAGCACCTGCTATACCTTTATACAGGCCCACACTGCAGGATAAGCTTCTTCCTGCAGCTGATCTCCGTCCAGAGCAGAGAAGTGGGCGTGGCCGAGAGCACTTGCAGGTGGCACAGAGCAGCTGGGGCAGAGCTGAAATCATGACATTCTGAGCTCTTTTAGAGCATTTAGAGTTTAGAAACATTGTTTAGAATATTGCAAGAGTGTGGGAAGTGTTTAAAACGCCTCAATATACAGTATATATATATATATATATATATATATATATATATATATATATACTAAAATAAACTACTACTTACTACTTGTACCCCTACTTCGTGGTTTTTCACTTATCGTGGGGCTTCAGAGTATGGATTTCCCACGATAAACGAGGGACTACTGTACTGTCATCTTGAAACTCACCTAGTTTATGCTATTTTATTCAAATTTTTGTCAAATTTTCATTACAGGGTTATTTACATAGAATTATTTATCTATTTGTTAGCATAAATAGTGGCAGCAGCAGTTAGCTGTAGCACTTTTGGTAAATATCAGGATATTTCCGTTAGAATAATCATGTAATGAAACCAATGGAAGTGTAATGGTCTGTAAAGGTCTATAAAATAGCGTTTGTGTAAACTGTTATAAAACCTTGAGAATTGAGTGGTTTTAAGACAGTAGACATTTGATTTGAGCTTTGATTAGTTGTTAGGTCAGTGGATTAATTTTTAAACTTTACCTCTCTGAATTTTTATTTTAAGTTATCTTTATCAGGTAAGATATTAATGGCTCATAACCTTTCCACATAACTTCCTTTAAAAAAAAATCTGAACAATCCATTTAGGAAATTAACTACAGTAGTATAATTGTGAATTTGCTTCAAACAACATCATTGGAAACTATCTTGTTGCATTTGCCAAGTTACCACTCGACACCTTTCTCTGCACTCTTTACATCGTCTAGTGTCATTTCAAAAGCAAAACACCCACAAGGGTCATCTCCCCCCGTAACCAAGTGGGCAAAGTGTTTTCACTGTTCGTGTGTGCGCAGACTGTGTTAAGTGAGAGCATATAGGACGATTATAACAACTCATATTCTCTCTCTGAGTGCCATGCTTGCTGCTGAGCCACTTAGTAATAAAGTTCAAGGAGTGTGCAGTGGAAAAGGACGCCTCCTTCAAATCAAAATTTCTTTTCAGTTTGTTTGTAATCTATCAGTCACCACAAAATTGACCGCCATTCACTGACACAACACCATGACCATTATGAGTCAGTTTCAAATTTGGCTCCTCGTATATTCAGTAATAGAGTTTTCAGCTTTCTGGTTTACATCCCATGTTACCGCACATGTGCTAACACACTCAATACAGTTCAGCATCACCAAAAGGAAGTTTTCTGTCACACCTATTTTTTTTTGGTTTTCTATATGCAGACTTTCAAACTCTGACAGGAGCTGTTATCGATGTTTGTGGTGGTGTGTGAAACTCCAGTGAAGCCATGCTAAAAGCAGATGGAGTCATTTCAGTGCGCAGTTGCTGATTTATACATTTGTACAGTCACGCTTATTAAGCTTTTTACTGCTAGCTCGAGACAAGAGAGGGAAAATTAAGTGACAGCAAGACAAGAGGGGCAAACAGGGGTAATTGAATAATGCCTCTGGTAGGTGGAAACGAATTATCCTTCTTTCCAATTAGTTTCACAATTTGTTTTTATTTAGTAATTAATGAAAACAGTGTCTGGTGACAGTGGGTGTCAGGCTCTGTGCTGCTCGCTGCAGCACTCTGCAGCCACAAAGTCTGTCAAACCTCGCCAGGTTTCCTTTACATGCAGATGCAACCACGCACACATATGCATGCAACCACATTTATAGAAAAATATATATGTGCAGAATTCTTCACATATATGTGCTGAATTTTCTGTTTGTTCCAACGTGAATCCATGCAATGTCAGACTGAAAAACCATTTCACCCACCTGCGTCTCTTCATACATTCTCAGGCACATTACCTTCATTATATTGATGGTCTTGTTGAAAATACTTCCCTGATTGTATTTAATCATCGCTGAATAACTATTACACATTAAACCCATGGTCCAGGCTTGCTGTAAGTTATTGTTATTTCATTAATACAATTTGAAGCACATCTTCCACTGAATTAATTACAGCTGCTAAACAAGCCATTTCCCCCCTTTTTTTCCATTTCTGGTTGAATAATGTGTACTTTCCACTGGTTTTCATTAATGGAGTTGAGTCTATTTAGAATTTGAATATTCGGTAATAAAAATCGTACATTATGTTGGAAACAAAAAGAGCATAAATGGAAATGTTGAACAAACCAGTGAGTTATCGCTGAGATTTTTTTTTAGAAAAACACACTGTCAGCTTTGCTCAGTTCTTTTTTTTTCTTTTTACATTGCTTGTAATGCATGTTAGTCATGGTCTAGTGTCAGAAAGTGCTGAAAAAAGAATAAAATACAATTTTTTTGGCACATTTGTTTTAAAATTCAGCAGTAATAAATGTTAAATAACTGCATCCACAGAAATAGCATTTGTGAAAGCAAATGGCTCAGCACTTTCAATCAAGCTGTAAAACTCAAAACGATGAAATCAGTTCACTTTTTCCACTTTATACCACTTGTTTTGTAGGTGCTCAGCAAACTGAAGCAGTAGAGGGGACTGGTTTTGAATGGAAGGGGACATTTTTTTTCCTACCGGGCTTTAATTTAAACCAAACATGTTGAGTCCATGAGTCAAGGATCTACGTCTGCAAGCCTCCATCGAGCCACCACAACATGTGCCTCCATCTCATTTGTGAATTTAGTGCACATAACTCACACCCCAATTGCGACTCTCAACATGAACATTTCAGCTGGACTTTTTTTCTGTCAAGTTGAGTTTTTTTTTTAATTCTCCAGAGTGTTGTCAGGGTCACAATTTTTTTGGTGTCGTACAGAAATTAAATATAGAGTTTCAGAGGAATTTGGTATAAACTTGACAGTAAGTCTCAAAACTTACAATATATTCTCCTTTTTGGCCATTCATATGCACAGGCACGCAGTGGTCCTGAATAAATGAGTGTAATCAGTGTGAGATCATTTGTTCACATACATATTTACAGGCAGCATATTGATTTCAGAGTCTTGCAGTACTTTTTTCTGCTATGTTGCATATTTTGCTGAGATGCTCATGCTCTATACAGGAAGTAAAGTCACAAGAGCACTAGGCATACGGTACTCACACACAATACATTCATAGTTGTAGATAAAGAAAGTAAAGACAGCAGGAGATATAGCGGAGGTTAATTTATCAAAACCTTAACTGATCTTTGAAAAGTCGAGCTCTTTCTGGAAGCAGCTGTCTTGTAAAACAAGTCCTGTGTGTGTGTTTGTACGAAAGAGAAGACTTTTATTCACATTCACACAGGCCTTACACACTACTTTAGAAAAACGAACTTAAAGACAAAAAAGGAATAACTAATTAATGACGATGACTAGATGACTAATTAATAAGGCTAACTTTAAAAATTAGGGATGCACGATATTGGATTTTTGGCCGAGATGCCGATATTTTAAAACTTATTTGGCCAATAACCGATACCGATATTTTTTATATACGTTCCTTTGTCAGTATATAATATAATATTATTTATTATATTATTTAGGCTTATTTGCTACAAAAAATGTGTAACAGCTGTAAGAGCTGGTGACATATATTCAGTAACAGCCATATGATATATATAGCACTTCAACTTATATTAAATGAAAAGTGCTAAATGTTATTTATTAACATTAGTCACCTGCGATGCTGTCTCACTTGTGGAGGCTTGTTCCAGGTTCCTAGCTGCAGTGTGGGATCCTCTGCTCTGTTGTGCATGAAGGACAGCCTTTTTAAGGTCAAAGTTTTTGTCTATCCATTGTGCCGTAAGACTAGTCATGCTAACGACGCCAACACTTGACATCCAAATGTCTGTGGTAAAACTCACTCAAGTGCTATCGGCTATTAGCTTCTCAATGATGTCGGAAATGACGGCTTGTAACACGGGTCAGGTTACGTCAGAAAAATATCTCTGACTGGGGACGATGTAGCGAGGCTCAACGTAGTCCATAAATCTTCGGAATCTGACATCCTCAATAAAAAAAACTTCCACACCGCCGACATTTTGACTTCTTCCTCTCCACCATGATCAGATCAGGTAGGTGTGCGTGATGTCATCACGTTGTGCTGGCGCTGCAGGCGTCCTTGTCACTGGACTGTCATACAAAAACAGCGGCTTTTATATCGGTGAGTTATTTTGATGAAATGGCCGATGTCCAATATTTAACTTTAACGCTAATATTGGCTGATACCGATACCATGCCGATAATATCGTACATCCTTATTAAAAACAGAACTTTTGTAACAGAGACTTGTCAAGACTCAAGTTTATGTCTTCAGACTTTGTGCTGAGCTTCCAGCAGACTGCTTGTAAAGATGTACGTATAATTGTTGACATGCTTAAACTGTGTGTCAATCAGCTGTAAGCCGCATTAATAGCCATAACTAACTTATCACTGATTGTGTGTGTCCCTGGCTATTAAAAACATGAGAGGAAGAAGAGGTTCATGGCGATCTGTGGTACCATAGCAACGCCTCTTATCCAGCACTGGCGCCCATTTAGCTTCAGTTCCGTGCTCACGCCGGAGCATATGGAATAATTGGTGTGTTATTGGTCTCCCGGGGGGCACAGGCATGTGTGGCACGAGGGGTTCCTAATTGGATTTATTTGTTTTGATGTGTTTTAGTGGCGTTGAAGAAAATAGAAAATAATAATAATAAAAAGAGGGGAAGGTTGGGGTAGTTTCAGTGTGCTCTGTTATTAGTTTGTTTATACAGTTTGTTTGTGGGGCTGCCTGAGTAGATTACTGGATTTACAGTTGTTGTTTTCACTTTGCCAGTTTGCTTTATTGTAGCAAGATGTAGGTTTAAAGTATATTAATGTCACTGTGTGAGGATTTGGTGACAGTTAAGGTAAAATGAAGGGCACCCCGAGCATGTTGAGATGCATGGCATGATGGTGTGAATCTGTCTTTATTGTCAGTGTATCTGTTTTGTTGTAACATATTTGCACCCTAGGCATTCTTTTTTTTTTTTTAAGAGACTTAATGAGATTTAATGATCTTGCAAAATATGGCCCAGCAGGCTTTACTGACAGTTACACAAAGACTGATAGGTGTGTGGTTTGTTTGGAGCAGTAAGTGAGGGCTTTAAATATCAGCTTTAGATGTGGTCACACAGCACTTGTGGTGGTTAAATCCATAAAAAGTCAATAATAAGTTCCTCTACATTGGGAAGCCACTCTTTCATCTTCATACACAACTTCCTGACATGAGCGCGTGCATGGATATCACATGTTTGATGCACACACACAGATTGCCTTTTATCCATAAGGTGCATTTTTTTTTATATTATTTTAATAAGGTCAGTAATAATCGCGCAGGTCAGCCAAGTAGAGAACAGCCCCCGCGGGGCCCATCCAGATAGACGTGAGGCCCTGAAGGTACCACAAGCTGACTTGACCTGCAGGCTTCAGACTGTCTGATCACGCAGCTCGTGTGGCCTGCTCTCTCTCTCCCCCCTTCTCTCCAACCTTCTTCATCTCGGGGGACCCTGGATCGGCCGGCATGCGCTTCCCCCCTCCCACCCCCCACCCGTCACTGTCATTGCATGGCTCTAATAAAATTGTCCCTCCTGCAGGCAAGGCTTGTTGTTGGGGGGAGTGGAATTAATTTTATCTAATTACACTGATGTCACCGTCGCCTATCAGCACGTAATTAAAATCTGACCTGCGAGCTCCGTACTTCGGCTCTTTGATAAGGGGAGAAAAAATTAAATTAAGCAAATCAAATATTAGGTGTTGATTGTGTTTGGAGGCTGATGATCATCGGGATGCTCGTGTGTGTGTGCGTTTTGTTTCTGCAGCGCACCGTGCAGAAAAATGCCAAGTATGTGTGCCTGGCCAGCAAGAACTGTCCTGTGGACAAGAGGAGACGCAACCGCTGCCAGTACTGCCGCTTTCAAAAGTGCCTGAGTGTGGGCATGGTGAAGGAAGGTAAGAAAAATCACACCTGATACCAGCTGGGGACACATCATCATCCAGCTTATGAGTTGTTGTTTTTTTCTTATCTGTGCTTAAAAGGCGAGCAACGATCACAACACATAGACACATGCAGTGACATATCCTCTCTATCCTGAAGTCTTCAGCGTCTATTAAAGCTATAAAAGAAACCGAGTCTAAGCAGACCATCAGAATCACTCATTTTCACTCCCTCCATCTCTTTATGGCAGCAGTGTTTTGCTCATGTGGAGAATTGGAGTGACATTCATTTTGCCCTCATTTCTCTGAGGTTTCTCACCTGTCTCACATGTCCTGTAATGCCCCCACCTACATTCACAAACCACATGTATGCAAATAAACCCACACAGCTCACAGGCCTCAGTGCCTGCAGAGCAGCTCCACTGCCATCTGCTGGCTTGCAGCTTCCTGTGTTGGAGAGCGCCTGAAGAGTATGTACAGTAATATCAAGTTGATAAGTTGGGAAATAAAATGTCAGGTAGCTTGCAGCACTAATATCAACTAATGAACTCACTTTTTCTTTTTGTCTTCTGTCGTTCTCTTCTTCACAGTGGTACGTACAGATAGCTTGAAGGGCCGCAGAGGCCGCCTGCCCTCCAAACCAAAGAGCCCCTTGCAGACAGAGGCGTCTCCCCCTTCTCCACCCCTCAGTCTGCTCTCTGCTCTCCTCAGGGCTTATTCCCACTGCACACCCCGAGAGCTTGACTACAGCCAGGTACCCCCCCTCTAACTCTCAACGTATTAGATAACTGCATGTGTTTGTTGAGAAATGTGCCTTGTGCAAGTTATGTCTCTATCTGTGGTCAAACAGTTCACCGCCGCCGACCCTCCCTCCTCCTCCTCTGACGCAGAGCACATCCAGCTCTTCTACAGGCTTCTCACCATCTCGATGGAGACCACAAAATGCTGGGCTGACTGGTTGCCCGGCTTCTCCGAACTTCAGCGGGACGATCAGAACCTGCTCATAGATTCAGCTTTTTTGGAGTTGTTTGTCCTGCGATTGGCTCACAGGTAAGGTGCCAACAGTTTAAACACAAAATTACGCTCGTCTTCTTTTCAGTCTTTTCCTTTGGCACCTCACGCCGCTGATGGGAACAAAAGACATCCTGTATCCTTGAGTGATAAATTACAGTGTGTAAATGGGCTGGCAAAGCTGTGCGCTGCTGTGTTGGTGTATCTCCAGAGTGGGAAGAGTGCAGCTGAGTAATCGCCATATGAACCAAATTATGAATGGAGTCTTTAGCTATGACAGCAGCTCCACCCACAGAGTTCCGCTCCGCTCGTCTGATATCTGACGCACAGAGGGCTTTGTGTGCGTCCTGCAAGCTAAAAACTGTTCAAACTTTGTGAGCTGACAGGACTGATTCCATCTAAAGTCCAGTCAGCTGAGACTGGAAAAAGGGGGTTGTTATGGAAGGTACATTCAGTTCAGCTGACTGGAATAAGAAGAACACCAATCTGTGTTTGTTCGAGAACGTGGGCGCCTCACTCGTGCCATTATGGCTCTTCCCTGCCTCAGAATTACCCAGGGTTACCGCTCTGCTCTTGTTCGGCATGCCGCTAGTTAAATTTATGGGTTGGAGGGAAGGAGGGGGGTCACTCTACAAGCTCATCCTTTTGTCTGAGCTGTTGTCTAGGGCAGAGGACCAATGCAGTGAGACGCACAAGCGCACTTAGTCACACTCACTGATGGTGTAGAACTTTTTCTTCTCCTCTTGGTGCAAAAGTCCAGGTGCAGGGTGGGTAGAGGATGGGTGGTGGCATCACAGTCCCAGCAGGAGAGGACGCTGACTCACGCTAAAGGGTGGACTCATAGGGGCAGGCACACACACATACATGCACACACACAGCTCCTGTTGCCATCAGCGAACTCCCACGAAAGGGTGGAAACAAGAGACAAACACAGCACTGTCTTGTACTTTCTGCTTCCTCCTTTTCATTGCATCGCCTATTGACCCTGCATTGAACCAGGATGCTTCGCAGACCCTTTCACAAGCGTGTGTCTGTGTGTGTGTGTGTGTGTGTGTGTGTGTGTGTGTGTTTGGTGTGCGTTGAACAAATTTGCTTCGCTCTTCTGGGTCGGCATTGCTGTAAGCAGCCTCGTCACCAAACCGTTTCTGTGGTTATCGGCTGATTACCGTAGCAACGGGGTAGTCAGGGGTGAGAGGAATGCGTGGCAGACATCCAGCTGTGCATGTGTGCATCTGCCTGCACGCTTGTCTGCCAACCTCTCTGTGTAGCTTTCGTCGTGTGTTATTATCAGGGATGGGCCCAATAGTGGATTGAAATAAAACTTAGTTGAATATCTGTTGGGTATGAACTTAATCACAACTCTGCAGATGTTGAGTCTAAGGAAAAACTCTTCAGGATTATTGAGTTTGCTTGTTTAGTCCTAGAGTGAAATTTGTTTTACTCGTGCTTGTTAACCAGATATCGTTTATATACACAAAACGCTTCTAAAAACACATCATCTGTTAAGTAGATTTCTGATTAAAGGTTCCTGTGGAGACGTTTCGGCAGCAGTTGATGGTGTGACGAGATTAGGCTGAAAACAAGTTTATTGTTCTTCCTATGTAAGGTTTGATGGGTGAATACAGTTTCTCCCCTGCCTTTTATTTTAAAGTTCACATAAAATTTAACTTCACACACGTAACACACACATCATGTAATGATGTGCACAATGTTACAAAAATAAACGTTTAAACATTCATCATTATTACTTGTTGTGCTAACCGTTTCTTGTTTTGGTTAGCTGTTGATAAGCGCGTATGCAATTAACATTATATATTTTACTATGCATGCTTGATTGGATGAATTATGTGCAGTGTCCTCCTTCATGTGTTCGACCAAATGTTTGTGGAGTACAAGCTGCAGTAAAAATAATTAGACACAAATGTTTCAGGATTTTACTCAAAGCTGCTAAACCAAAGTTTGTGCTGGTTGTAATTAGTGGCTCCCAGGTCTTTCCCCCTTTTTCCAATTTAATGAAAATTTACACAATAATCTGTTTCTTTTTCTCCCTTTTATTGTCCTGCGTCCTCCCATTTCACACAGTTCAACCTATTGCCTTCCTCTTTACAACCGAACTCCCCAGCTTTATTTATTGTTTAGCCCCCTTTCCCTCTTAGCTAAAAGTGGGATGTTGCGTGTCGTGAGTAAGTGATGGTTAAACACATCTGAGAAGCTTTTTCATTTCCTCATTAAAGCTTTGTGTTTCCACTGCCTGGAAACATTAAAGCTGCAGCAGTTTACCTATCTGCAAATACACACACACAGAGCGGCCCTCTGCCCTAACCCTTCACCCCACCCTACCACAAGGAAACAGGAATGTTTTAAATGCTGTAATTTTGGAAAACACAAGCCTAATCAGCTGCATGCCTGTGTTTGATGTGTGTTCAAAGTTCCAGGTTTTCGTTTTTTTATTTTTTTTATTGTAATTGCTTCCTTCTCCCAGTATCTCAAGCTATATTTACAATGCATGAGGGAAAATATCACTAATTTACTATGGAATAAAGGGCTAACAAATCCCATCTCTGTTTCTCAGGTCCATCCTGTCAGAGGATAAGCTAGTGTTCTGTAAAGGCTTGGTGCTGCACCGGTTCCAGTGCCTTCGCGGCTTTGGAGAGTGGCTAGACTCTATTCGCGACTTCTCCACTCACCTCCAGAGCTTAAACCTGGATGCCACTGCCTTCGCCTGCCTGTCCGCCCTCGTCCTGCTCACAGGTAAATAATTAAAATAAAATTGAAAAAAAACTGAAAAATAAAGGTACCAATTTGAAACCAAACAGCCATCTGTTTCTTTTGGATCACAACAATCAGACAAGCTGTTCTGAAGTAAATATGCTGTTGTTGTTGTTTTGTTGTAAAATGCTGTGCCTGTGGGTTTTCCTGAGCAGCAGTGATCAGCTGGTTCCATCCACTGCCGTCACACTCAAAGACACACACGTCCGTGCGTTTTCTCACGCACCTCTGCCTGAAACCAGAATCTGATACCCAGAAGCACCTGCTGCACCTGCCACACACCTGGTCCTCTAATCAGTGAAAAATTAAAGCTTTCTCCACGGGCGCTCATTAGGAACACAACAGACAATGCAACAATTGAATTGTTGGTAAAAACTCATTAGAACTGGAGCCCAGCATTGCGGAAGATGAGCCTCAATTATGCATTTCATTCTGTACTCCAGAGTGCAATAATGTCCAATCATAAAATCCCCCTCCCCCTACCTCCAGCTTCTGTAGCTCACTCTGCCCCCGCCACCTCCTCCTCCACCTTTTTTTTTTCTTTCCAAGCCCTCCCCTGTTTGCTATCTCTCTCTCTCTCTCACCCTCTCTCTGGGTGAGCACTTAACTCTGTTCCCGATCGACCAGCCCGACATGGGGCACGGCTCTGGAATGGCGTCTGCCGGCGTTCTCAGTGGCGCTCTGCCACCTCGGCAAAGCACATAGCGCACACAGGCCACGGCTGAGCCACCAGAGCCACCAGGCGATCGACCACTTCAGAGTGGCCTGTGCAGAAAGAAAGCATCGATCTGTCCCCAGGAGTCCATGCACAGGGAGAAAGAAGGAACCGAGGGAGAGCGCGGAAGAAAGACAGGGAAGCCAAAAAGTGTGCGAGAGGTCTGAAAGGCACGGTGGAAGGAGGGCTGGAGTAACACCGCAGCCGCAAACAGCCCAAACAAAAGGGTCACATAAACAAACAATAAATAAGCTTCCAATAATGGATACCTCAAAGTGAGGCTGGTCTTAGAGGCAGCCTCCCTGCAGCACAGCTTGTATGTGTACTTGTATATAAGTGTTTGAACGGGTGTGTGTGTAGTGGGGGGGGGGGGCACCCTGGTCTCTGCAGAATGAGTTAGTGTCACATTAAGTCTGATCCGAGTGCCACTGGAGTTGCTATGGGCAGCAGCGTGTGATTGTATGTGTGTGTGCGTGTGTGTGCCTAATTGAATTTGGCTGCTCAAAAGGCCAAATAATCAGCTAATCGTTGAGCACTGTTTTGTTTGTATTAGTGTCTCAAATTTGCAAGATGCAGGGCCCATTTGTGCATCTGTGTGCATTTATTTGAAGTATTTTGTGTGCAGTTTGAATGTACCGCATGTGGAAGGGATGTCAGTATACGCGTACATACATAGTGTGCAGGAGGCTTATTAGGTTAGGCTGTGTATTGATCTGTGGTGAATGAGACAGGTTAAGGCTGTTAAGAACATGAGCCATACAGGCTAATGAGGTTCAATTCAATATAAAACAAGATGTAGCTAATGTTATTTCAGCTGAATGAGCTCTGATCTGTGTATTTGTGTGGCTTTTTTTTCCCACTGACTTAATTTTTGCCATTTAATGAATTACTGTGCTAAGAACTCTGTCTCCACCCTTTCTTTCTGCAGACAAAATCCCTGGTCTGAAGGACGCGAAGCGGGTTGAGGACCTGCAAAATAAAGTCCTTTGTTGTCTCAGAGACCACCTGGGCTCCGGTTCTTCCTCGTCCTCATCTAAGGCCGCACCTCCTCTAAATCACGTTCTGGGATTAAGAGCCGAGCTCCGTTCTCAGAGGACCCAGGGCCTCCAACGAATCTTCTACCTGAAGCTGGAGGACCTCGTACCGCCTCCGCCGTCGATCGACAGATTCCTGGACACTGTGCCATACTGAGTTCTCAGGCTGAACACACTGAGGAAAAAACTTAAATTCTGTTCAGGCCTCCCCCCATCCTCCCCATAGGAGCATGCAAACACACCTGGAGGTGAGACTGAAGAAGGCTGAAAGCTCCTCGCTCAGTGGGACAACCAAACATTAAGCCTTGGACTCAAACAGACAACTGATAAAATCCTTTTCACTTGTATAAAAGACTGAAAAGCTTTACCACCTTTTTTTTTTGTTTGTTTGTTTGATCCTGCTGCAGTTTTCCCTCGTATGGGGCAGGATGATGAGGATGAGATGGACAACAGAAAAATAACTTAATATTGTCCTTCCTCCATCTGGGTGGCAGCTCATTTTGCAAAAAGACTACATTTATGAGTCCTCTATCTGTTTTGGCCTAGCTTATTCTGTATTTTCTTTTTTATTTTAAGTCATTTGGACCGACTTTTTTTTAAACTGTTGACGTCGATAAGACAAGCGTTACCTCCTGCTCGTAAGAGGAAGAGAGGCGTTTTCAAACTGAAAAGCAGTGAAATGTCAAAGGTCAAGCAGCGTAAGAACAGAAGGGCAGAAACATGTAAAAAGCAAACGTGTCGTAAACACGTGAAAATGACTGCTGAGGTGGAGCTCTTACTTACAAGTGCAATTTCTTAAGTTCTGTCCAACCGCAAGAACAACGAAGAAAAAAGGACGAGACTGACGAGGAGCAGTGGTCTAATTTCAAACTCTAAATTATTTGAATGCAAAGCTTTGTCCGGTGCTGTCCGCGGCCCAACGAGAGAGATCCAATCTCTGCGTGGCTTTCTGCAGCGGAGGAGAAACGGTGCACTAATCGATGACTGAGTCACCCTGACTTGAACTCTTTGTGTCGTTTTTATTAACTCGCTTTGAAATCATAGGTCGAGTACGACTGTGGAGACACAAACATGGGCAGAAATTGGCTTTTAAAGCACCTATACCCAGAGAAGGGCTTTAGAAGAAGACACACACCCTTCCTGCTCGCCTGAGGGATGGCGGCGACTCGAGGACGGTAGGAGGGTGCTCGACAAGACAGCTGCACATCCGAGAGGGGGAAACATTCCACATTTGTGATCTTTTTAATTCTTTTACATTTCTACCGTGAGAGTCTGCGCCCGTCGAGAGGTCAGGGTGCACGGTGCCGAGAGCGTCTGCAAACAGCTCGACCTGTGTTTGTGTCTCAGACTGCAGCTCTACGGGGATCTCCCCAGGCCACCCACCCACACCCTCACAGCAGCGGTTTTAAAATGAAAATAAAAGCAAATTATATAGATATAAATATAATATAAATATATAAATATAAAACTAATATTTTGAAGTGTTTTTAGCTTTTTCAAATATTGTGGTACGACTTGTGCGTTGTTGTTTTTCGTGTGTGTGTTTTTTGAAGAGAAACAAAAAAATGATAAAAAAAACTTGCTGTTTTTTTTTAATGTACTTTTTTGGTTTGAGTTTCCTGTTCAGTATATATAGATATATATATATATTTTTTTTTTCCTTTCTCTTTGGTTCACTGGATTTTCTGTTCAGCACTTTGAAATCATAAACTAGTTCTGATTATTCTGACGCACTGTGTCCTGTGTTTAATTACTCAAAATGAACCCTCACAAAACGCACAAATTTACATCCTGAGGCTTCCAAGCTGATTTCACGTACCATATTTTTTAGACTATAAGGCGCACTTACAATTTAAAATCCTTGAATTTTCTCAAAAATCGACAGTGAGCCTTATAATCCAGTGCGCCATATGTATTAATTCTGGTTGTGCTTACTGATCTTGAACTAATTTTATGTGGTACGTGGCGCTCAAAAATCTATGAAAATGAACTTATTTCACTTAATGTGCCTTATAATCCGAAAAATACGGTACAATAAATATGCGTGTGTGTCCTGTCAGAGACAAAAGCCTCCTGACAGGTAAAAGGCCTCGCCTCTGTCCCCTCAGGGACCCTTGGGGCGCTCTCAGAGAGTAAAAGGGGGATTAGGAAAGTGAAGAGGGGAAGGAAGAGTGAGGAGAGGAGAGCTTTATGCTGGCATGAGGTCCAGATCAGCCTCCAGTCTCGTTAAACAACATCGATCGCCGTGGTGACATTTCACAGCACATGCCGTCTATACTGTCACTGCCATCACTCACTGCGCAGCACCAAGAGCTCCTACACACACACTCAAACAGCCCACTGATGGATAACAGCTGGCAGGGAAATAGAGAAGCGATTTGTTTGAGAAGTGAAAAAGCAAAAGAGTTAAAGTGACGGATAACATGTTAGCATTTAGAGCAATTGACAAAATGTGCAAACACAACAGTTTTTATGGCATTGTGTTTGTGTGTCTGTCTTAAACTAGAGGATTGATATTAACAAGACTTAGAGAAAAGAATAGTTGGATGTACATCAATAAGTGACTACCGTATTTTCCAGAGTATAAGTCACATCAGTCAAAAAAAACATCATGAAGAGTTAAAAAAAAAATACGTATATAAATCGTTTTGGCGTATAAGTCGCCGTTTATTATGCGTTTATTTAATGGTCAAAACAGTTTAATTTTGCCTGGGCCATGCGGCGCCATCCATCCATCCATCCATCGTGGCCAGAACCGCTAGCTCTCCAGCGTTCCTCTGCCTGCACCAGCTGAGTGAAGCGAGTGTGCACGGGAGGACTCGCTGTTGCAGTTCTTAGAAATTTAACAAGATTAAAACTTAAAAACTTTTTTTTTTTTGTTCAACATTACAGCAAAGGTGTGTCTCAATTTAACTTTTCCTTAATAAATGCACTTTAATGGTCAAAACAGCTTCATTTCGCCTGGCCGGCACGGTGCCATCCATCCATCCTCCAGCATTCCTCCGTCTGCACCAGCTGAGTGAAGCAAGTGGGCATGGGAGGACTTGCTGCTGCAGTTGTTATGAATATTGGGAAAAAAGTATATCAGTCGCTTGGGCGTATAAATCGCAGAACTGACAAATCTATGCAAAAAAACTGTGACTTATATGCGGGAAAATACGGTAATTTTAGAGTCAACCAGACTCAAGATGGCCAGCACAGCCAGCTGACCTTAAACAGCACAAAAACGGCTTGAACTTTGACTTTTGCTGAGACGCAGTCGCAGCACATATTCCAAGTGATGCCCATATGAAATGATTTTTTTTTTTACCGTGTCATTGTTGAGTGTTTGTCTGTTAGTAAAATAGTTCATGAACCAATGGATGAATTTTAACAAAACCTTCAAGGAAGTAATGATTAAATGTATATCTACAGGTCAGGAACTGTTGGAATAAACCCAATTCAAGATGACTGCCGCAGCTAATCATCAGCCAACACAAAAATAACTGTAGCTCAGCCAATTTTACAGATAAGTAAAATTTGAAGAGGTAGTTGTTGAGTCATTCACAACACGTGCTCTGAATGTGACATCACACAGTATCACATGAGATGGTACTTTCACGCTTGACCCAAACAGCAACATAAAACTTTATCATTTCTCCCCATAAGATCATGGGATGAAAGGCAGTGGGCATGCATTCCTTAAATGCTATGCATTTAATTTAATTGTGCGATTTATGAGAATGTGGGTCTGACTGTGTGTATGAACACAATAAAACACCCTTAAATCAAAGTGTCTCAGTTTCATATAAAATAACACGACATGAGGACAAAACGCACTCAGATTTGCATGGACACACAAATACACACAGTGAGCTGTCAGTCTCGCAGCTAATCGATCAGTGCTGACAGGTAGCAGATACCCAGAGTCTTAATTAGAACTCCCATCAGAATGCACGTGATTATTATGCACACACACATGCATGCGCTCAAGCACGCACACACAAAGTAGGTATTTTCTTGGCTTTGTGTTCATAACTCGTAATCTTATCAGAATTGTACATTAAATCTAAAACCAACTTTTCTCACCCCAAATTCCTTGAAAAGCCAGATTTTAGTAGCTCAAAAAAAAAAACTATCAAAGAAGTTACCTTAAAGAATAAAAGATTCATATAATTAACAGTTTTATGAGTGAAAATGTGTTTTTTAATATATATTTGCAGCTGTACGGTGGAGTAAAACACTAGCATGTCTATTGGTTGCCACCAAAAGGAAAAATGCAGACAATAAAGATTTTGTCCCTGTCTATGTGTGTGTGTTTATGTCTGTTAGCAAAATATCTCAAGGGCTAGTGAACAGAATTTAAAACTCTCAAAAGAATCATTAGATCATCTTTCTTAGGCGGCTGAGGCGAGCTGGTCTGGGCAGCTCAGTCCTCACCTCCTTCTACAGGTGTGCAGTGGAGAGCATCCTGTGCTCCAGCATCAACGTGTGGCATGGAGGCTGCACAGCTGCAGAAAGAAAAGCTTTGCAGAGAGTGGTGAAGGCTGCACAGAAGAGTCAGCCTCCCCACCATCACAGACATCTACACCTCCAGATGCAGGAAGAGGGCCACCTGCATCATGAAGGACCCCACTCACCCAGCACACACACTATTTGCCCTGCTCCCCTCAGGAAGGAGGTTGAGGAGCATTAAGTGTAGAACCAGGAACAGCTTCTACCCTGAAGCTGTTAGACTCATAAACCCCTAATCAAGATTATCACAGTAATGCCACTTTAATTGGAGATATGTCACTTTATCTGTGCTGCTGATTATTCATGCTGCTGATTATTCATGCTGCTGATTTCTTACCCATAAGCTGCTGTGTAACCATCTGCTCCAAAAGACTCATGTTCAGACTGCTGTTTAGTACACCGTTTTATATTATATTATTATTGTTTAGTGTATATCTTAGATCTTTGTATACTGTTTTATTTTTTACACTTTATATATTTGCTATTTTTGGGTGTAACTGGGACTTTGAGTACACAATTTTGTTCCTCTTCATAGCAATAAAGTCACCTTGAACCTTGAAGACACAAGATAATGCAAGATATTTATTTCATCATTTTTAACTACCGGATGTGGACAATGAACTTTTAATAAACCACCAAATGGGTTTAATGAAACATTCAGAAAGACATTATTGGATGTAGCTCTTCAACCAGTTCAAGTTCAAGTAAACTTTATTATCATTA